TCATTATAGATCTTGTATGTGTGGTGCACACAAGATGTTTTGATGAAATGCTTTGATATGTGCATATTTAGCTATATATTTAGTATAGGTTTTCATTAATTGTTAGCTAATTATTTACATATTGTGGACAAAAGGTACTTAATAGTGTTCAAATTGTATTTTCAATTCAAAAGAGAAGCTCGGAGATAAAATGAAGCAGGATATATGATCGAAAGCTCGGGAACTGAAGAAAGAAGAAAAATGCTAAATCCTGAAGCTACTCGGCGAGTAGGGACGTCTACTCGACGAGTACATACGAAGATTCGAGAAACAATACGTAAAGTCCTTGACGTATACGAATTCTTCAAGGGGACTCGGCGAGTCAGTTGTCTACTCGACGAGTAGACCCTGTTTTGAGAAATCTATAAATAGAAGCAACAAACCCGAGTTGACTCTCTTTGGCTTTTGGGAAGCTTACTTGGCGACTAAGGAGACTGCTGGAGATCTGAAGAACGTGAGAAGAACCCTAATCCTCAATTCTAAGAAGACTAAGGCAACTTAGGTTTAATTTTCCACTTTACCTTTGAATAGAACTATGTCTAGCTCGTTTGAATTTTTTTTAGTTTGTTATCTACTGCAATTATGAACTAATTTCGTTAGTTTCTGTTTAGGGTAGACAAGTTTGTTCCTATGGATTAATTTACTATTTTGATTAATTGTTATGTGGTGAATCTTGTTAAATTAAGCTTGTTAAGGACCCTTATGCATTGACCATAACTATTTTCTGTTAATTGCTAAGTAATTAAGTTGCATGAACATCTCTTAATTGCTTATCTCATATGATTTATGTGAACACATTGCTATATGCCTAGGATTAGTGAATGTGAAACTAGGATTAACTAGAGAGTGGGTAAATTAATGTGTGAGCTTGTGTGATACACCATCAACAAGAGGTTAATTGAATCACCAATTTAATTAGCTAATTACAAGTCTTATTTAACCCGAATAATTAAACTAGGGAATTTATTAGTTTAACCACTTGATCACTGCTTAAATTAATCTATTTTCTAAGGAATAGTAATAACGAATGTGAATCTAATCACCTTAGTCGGTAACCAATAACAATTAATCCATTACATCACCATAAAAATTAACCATAGGAGTAAATGAGTTGAACCTAAACAGAAACCCTTTTAATTATTGAATTTAGTTGGTTTTTACGTGTTTTCAGCTGTTAGTTGATTAGTTAAGTTTTAGTTAAGTTTCTAGTCTTGCAAAACTAGAGAAAACCCCTCTATTTTACTAATTATTTTAGATAATTCTAGTAGTTAGATTAATTTCCGTTCCCTGAGTTCGATACCCTACTTGCTAATTCATATTACCAATTGACAGGTCCACTGCCTTTTGTGTGTCAAATTCATAAATTAAAAGTAGGATAAAACTAGTTAATTTAACACACATCATGCTTCAACAAAATTAGGTATGTTTGAAGCTGTGAATATGTTTTTTTATGTATTAATTTGTGAATATGTAAGTTACTAAGCTGTGAATCTGTATTTTTTTTGTAGCACTAAGTTATGAATAATGCCTCAAATATTGAATTAAGCTGTGAATTAGTGCTTAAAATGTTGTATTAAACTGTGAATTCTGATTTTTTTTTATCTAAATCTGTTTTTTAAAGGAAAGATGTTGGCGGTATTGGCACGGTGGTTGGTGGTGGCGATGGTTGATAGTAGAGTATGGTAGTTGGCAGTGTTGATGCTGGTGGTGGTGGTAGAGTAAGGATACGTTTTATTTCTCATTAATCTTCTTCGCTGATTTCAGATAAGTTATCATCTTTTATGATCCATGTATACGTTTTCCTTTTGATGTTTGCTTCTGAAATATGAGATAATTTATGTATTTATTAAACTGTGAATGAATGAGTTTTTTAATACACTGAAATATGAGATTATACTTCTAAATGAGTTGTGAATGTGTTGTATAAAACTGTTAATTTTGTGTATTAAGCTGTAAATTTTATTCACGGCTTAATATATTAAATTCACAATTTAATACATAGAAATGCATCTATATATTAACGTATAAATGTAAGTTTTAATTTTAAAATATGGATGTGGATATATATAATTTTTGTATTAAATTGTGAATTTATTGTATTAAACTGTGAATTTTGTCTATTAAACTATGAATTGATTGTATTAAGAGTTTTAATTTGATAGTATAGCTATGAATTTATACTTTTTGTGTATTAAACTATGAATTTATTGTAATAAGTTGTGAATTTTATGCATGAAGCTATGATTAAACTTTGAATTAACTGCATTAAGCTGTAAATTTTCTATTTAAATTGTGAATTGACTATATTAAACTTTGAATTTTGAGTAATAAACTTTGATTTTGTGTTTAAAAATATGAATTGACCGCATTAAACTATGTATTTTCTATTTAAACCGTGATTTCAGATAAGTTATCCTCTCTTATGATCCATATATATGTTTTTCTTTTGATGTTTGCTTATGAAATATGAGATAATTTATGTATGTATTAAATTTTTAATGAATGAGTTGTTTAATACAATGACATATGAGATTATACTTGTAAATGAGTTGTGAACGTATTGTATAAATCTGCTAATTTTGTTTATTAAGTTGTGAATTTTATTCACGACTTAATATGTTAAATTCACAATTTAATACATAGAAATACCTCCATATATTAATGTATAAATGTAAGTTTTAATTTGAAAATACGGATGTGAATATATATATATATATATATATATATATATATATATATATATATATATATATATAGTATTAAATGGTGAATTTGTTGTATTAAACTGTGGATTTTGTATATTAAACTATAAATTGACTGTATTAAGAGTTTTAAGTTGATAATATAGTTATGAATTTATATTTTTGTGTATTAAACTGTGAATTTATTGTAATAAGGTATGAATTTTATGTATTAAGCTATGATTTTTGTGTTTTAAACTTTGAATTAGCCGTATTAAACTATAAATTTTCTATTCAAATTGTCAGTGGATTATATTAAACTATGAATTTTGAGTAATAAATTGTGATTTCTGTGTTAAAAAATATGAATTAACTACATTAAACTATGAATTCTTTGTTTAAACTGTGAATTGACTGTATTTTGCTGTGATTTTTTTTATAATTTGTGTTAAAATATGAATGATTTATGTATAGATTTTTTTGTTAACTTTTTGCCGAATATATTTATTTTTTGTGTTGTATAAGTATGTAAGAATGCACTAGTTTTTATAACAGTTTTGCATAAAATTCAAAATGAGTGAATTAAATGGTTTTATTAGTCTGTGAATGTTGTATTTAAGTTGTTAATGCATGACTTTATTTACAAATCTGATTTAGAAGAAATGATGGTTGCGATGCTCGTACAGGTGGTTGGTGGCAGCATGTGGTGGTGGTGGTGGTAGAGTTTGAATTTTGATTTCTTTGAGTTTGTGAATTATTGTAAAATGGTTTGTATGAAGCCGTTATTTTTTTGAATTAAACTATAACTGGACTATATACACTTGTATTTTATATAACTTTTGTGTTAAAATAGGATATCATATAAGAATGAAAATATTAGACTACAAAAATTACAATTTTGCTATTTTTGTATAAAAAAGAGAAAACAATCAGGATTTTAACATGTTTAATAAGAGTATCATGTAAATATTTACTAACTAATGGGGGTTCTTAGGGTTCTTAATCTTTTATGGTTCTTATTTGAACCACTCCCTATATATATATATATATATATATATATATATATATATGTAACATCCCCCTCTGAGACGTATCACAATATTGTCTGTTTTGGGCTTCCGGTACGATAATTTCCTAGGGGGTCACCTATCCCTGGACTGCTCTCGCCCGGGCATGCTGAACTGCAAAGTTCTTATGGGATCTGTTGCCCTCACGGCTTTAAAACGCATTATGATAGGAAGGTATCCACACTCTTTATAAGGAAATGTACATTCTCCTTCCAAGCCAATGTGGGATCAGGTGCAACCCACCTTCACCCCACATTATAGGTTTAGACGTCACCTTCACAAGGTTTCCGTACATATAAAGAACGCTGAAATCTGACTTATAACGAAGAAGTTATGACCCGTCGAAGTTTAGCGATTAAACTGGCACAGTACCGAGTATCGTAAAAAGTGAATTTTTGACAAAATACTTTTTAGCCTTAGCGATCTAAATGAAAGTCATAGTATACATTAAGCCGAGAGCGTGCATATACAAAACGTCCAAATCTGACTTCATTTGAGGAAGTTATGATTTTTCTAAGATTCAGCGTAGCAGTATACAACTCAGTAATCGAATCTTAGATCGGTCGATTATTAGCCGACACAACATAAACGAGAATTTAAGATCTTGTTAATAGGAGCTCAACGATATAAAGACAGTCGAAAACGGACATCGGGCGACAAATTTATGAATTTTTAACGGACTTTAACTGTCTAAGTCTGTTAAAATGTAACTTTAAAGATAAAGTCAAAATTAGCCGACGGAGTCTAAACGAAAGTTGTAGATCTTGTCAATACCTACATGTGGATATAAAGAACGTCAAAATAACACACATTGAAAGTTGTAGATCTTGTCAATACCTACATGTGGATATAAAGAACGTCAAAATAACGCACATCGACGGAGTCTAAACGAAAGTTATGTATTTCTTTGCAATGACATTTATGAAAGTCTTGGTTACATTTTTAATATCAACAATATTAATTGTGGATTTGGTTCTTATGATCACTACTAGAAAAACAGCCTTTTACGACGCGCAATCAATGACACGCGCTGATAGAGGACACACATTTATGCGTGCCCTAAAAATTGATGTCAGTTTTCCAAAATATGAAGCATAGAGGACACGCATTTTTGCATGCCCTTAAATTAGTGTCTAATAAAAAAACACGGAGGGCACCTTAAATAAAATGTGCGTCGTCTAACCATGTCGTTTTATAAATTTTAATGAAACGCATGTTGCATCTTAAGGGGGGAAATGAAATCCAAAAAATTAAAAACCCCGCTTTGTTTCCACCGGCTGAAAACCCTAGCTCGTCCCTGTCGAAAACCCCATTTCTTTCTTTCTTCTCTCTCGATTCTCAAACCACCACCGCTTCACTTCTCCACATCGTGCTCAAAGTAGCTGCTCAAGTACCCGACAGTGGTCCATGTGCCACATACATCGGCGAAGGTGGTTCCGGCAATTTTGTCAAAATGGTCCACAACGAAATCGAGTATGGTGACATGTAGCTGATTTCCGAAGTATACGACGTGTTGAAATCCGTTGGGAAACTCTCGAACGAGGAACTACACAAAGTGTTGTCGGAATGGAATTAAGGGGAGCTTCAAAGCTTCTTGATTGAAATCACCGCAGACATCTTCGACAAAGTGTTGGATAAAACAGGCATGAAAGGGACCGGAAAATGGACCGTCCAACAAGCGGCGGATCTATCAATCGCTGCCCCCACAATCGCGACGTCTCTGGATTCGCGATTCCAGAGCGGATTAAAAGACGTACGTGTTGAAGCTGCTAAGATCTTTAAATACGGTGGGTTCGGTGATATTTTGGAGACTCAAAATGTGGATAAACGATAAACCGGTTCTTTCACGCCCTCAACAAACATTCTATCGGGTTCGTAATTCATTTCCAAATCTTGGGTTTTAATCTTTAAATCTCAATCTTCAATTCGGAATTACGAAATTGAAATGGTGCATATTCTTTATATGCAGGGACATAACTACTTCGAAATTGACCTAGATATACATCGATTCAGCTACATTTCACGGAAAGCACTTGATGCATTCTAGGGACGATTGAAACATAGGATTCTTGACATTGGTTTAACGATTCAGGTAAATTGGGTTTCTGGTTTTTGAATATGGAATTGGATTTTGTGTTGTGATTCATAAACTGAATATATGTATTTGATTGGATTTTCAATTTTTAGGAACAACATCCTGAAGAACTACCCGAGCAAGTTTTATGCTGTGTTAGGCTTAACAAGATTGAATTTTCTGATCATGGTCAAATCCCAAGAATTTTAATACCAAATAGTGATTAATGCTACAGAAAAATGAGAATGGCTGAATGTTATTATGTTGTTTTTCATTTCAAGAGAAATCATGATTTAGAATATGCTCACACAAATTGACAGATATGAAACGTGCATTGATACTGAGATACAACAAAGAGCTGTGGAGTATTTTGCATTGAGTAGGAAAGGTGCAGCCCTGATGGATATATTAGCAGAAATGCCAAAGTTCCCTGAATGTGAGGTATATTTATTTTAGGATTTTAATTGATCTATTGGTTTAATAGTTGACCACATCTTAGATAATTAATGTTGACTTTTATTATCTATTTGAAGTCCTCATTGATTAAGAAAGCAGAAGACACTGAAGCTGATACTGTAGACCTAAGTGCTATCAAGTCACGCACACAACAACAGGCTTCTAATGTGTTAGTGGTGACAGATCAGCGCCCTGCAAATGAACCTCCACAGCTTGGTATGGTCAAAATCCCCACCGTTGACCATAACTCTGTGAGTGTTGACCAAGAGTTGACTCAAGCTAATGGAATTTCACATGAAGCTGACCACCCTCAACCTGATATTCTTGGAGATCTTTTAAGCCCACTGGCTATTGAAGCACCTCCTCCTGTAAGTGAAGATGATGCATTAGGTCTTGCACCTGTTGAAGAGCAAGATAATCTTGTAAAGGTACTACTACCTGCCACATGTCCTATCCTCATTGGCTATAAATATCATTTATTTATATTAATTTAACTGTTTGTTGACAAATGACAACCTCACACAGCCAATAGGAGACATTGCAGAAAGATTTCACTCCTTGTGTCTTAAAGATAGTGGAGTTCTATATGAAGATCCTTATGTTCAGGTACTAAAAAGTCAAGTTTTATATATCTATCATATATCAATATATTACATTAATTTTTTTTATAATTAAATGTTATTATTCCAGATTGGTATCAAAGCAGACTGGCAAGGTTGAAGTGGTAAATCTTGGTCCAAGTAGGGATGTTGTAGTTCTTGACTTTTCATACATGTTTGGCACCAACTTAGTATGTTCTTAATATCCTTATTCAATCTGCAACATATCCAATTAGTCAATGTTTGACTTTTTTTTTGTGTGACACAGGTTGAAACAAAACTGAGGCTTCCTGCAGTAATAAACAAAATTTTCCAGCCTATACCAGTATCCACAGAGGAATTACGTGAAGCTGTTCAAATTTTTTTTGAATGTTTGTTATTTTGCTGTAAATTTTTAATCATGATTGCTTTCTTTTTCAACTTCCCTATTTTTCTCTTTTACAGTATTCCAAAGTCAATAAAACTGAGGAATGATACGGAATACCTTATCTGCATATGAATCCAAGGTAGATTTTGTTAAATCTTGTTATTTTTATAAAATCTTTCTAACAGTAACATTAAATGAACTAAACCAAAATTATTCAGGTTCACAACACGTTTCTTGATCTTGAGGAGTCGAATATTCTTCGCTTGTATATGAGTGATGCAATAATAGATATATCTAAAGCCTGTGAAGCTTTTGAAGCAAAAGAAGCAGCACCATCTGTTGCAGGTATGGAGAGGGGTATTTCTGTCTTTTTTTTTCCATTTTTTGTGTTAACTTATAACGGATCCATACCATATGATGCAAATTATTAGGTTACTTGGAGCAAATTGGAGCATATATATATATATATATATATATATATATATATATATATATATATATATATATATATATATATATTTCAAAACTTCAATTAAACAAACTACTTTTCGTAAAAATATTCTAAAACTTTTTTATTGTAATTTTATTGATTAAAATGCTAATATGCTTTCAAATGTTGTTGATTGATTAAAAATGTTGATTTCTATGATGGAGTAATGTTGATGGCTTGTATGGGTAATCTCTCTCTCTCTCTCTCTCGATAGAGAGAGAGAGAGAGAGAGAGAGAGAGAGAGAGAGAGAGAGAGAGAGAGAGAGACCTGTTACAATGGATGCTGGTGAAAGATACAAATTATGATGCAAAGTATATGAAATATACAAATTATGAGGTTAGTCCCATGTGACTTTTATGATGCAAAGTATATGAAAGATACAAATTATGGTAACTTGTTTCTGTCTTTTCAGGACACTAACTATGTTTCAATTAAACGTGGGAGTCATGTTGTAGTTATGATTAACGGGTATGCAATGTAATCTCTCTTGCGTAGTTGCTTCTTTCCCTTTGATAAGTGGTATCTTACCCTAGCCTATGTTAACATTTTAAGGGAAGTCAGAACTCAGAAGCTATCTATATGCATATTGTTTTATCTTTCTCAAAGTAAATAAGATTGCTAATTATGTATTTCTTTTTGACAAATTGGATTTGTGATTTGAAAATTGTAAATCTCAGATTAGGGGGACACCTGTAATGGAACTGATGATTGCGGCTGGAAAGGTTGTTCCTATTTTGCAGCTGGAACATGGAGTAGCTGTTGTTAGAGTGTATACAGGGTCATTCATGACTTCTCTTGATATGGCAGGTTTGTTAAGTTCATTTTGTTTTCTGATGCAAAAAAAGTGGCTAATATCTTTGTGTTGTGTTAGAGCAAGCAATTCTACAACGATACACACTTATGCAAATATTTTCAATGCAGAGCAGGTTTTAATGGAACCCGGAACACCACATGGATCAAATATCATATCTCAAGTGCGGTCCCACATTCTTTGGATGGAGAAAAGGGTAATTTCGTCTTTTACAACTAACATTCCATGTTTGATTCTTCTAATAATTATATTAGCATATTATTTTTTTGACTTTTATTTGATCAGGTCACAAGAATTATCGGAGCAGGGGTTCATTAGTCTTAAAGAATTATGAAAGGCAAGATGCAACTCTACTTAGTTGGAATTTGATGTTTATCATCTTTGTGTATATCTTTTTAGTTTGTATAGCATTACATTGCAGAAGGTGTCCCTTAATAGCAATGTAGTATTAGGTTATATAGTTAGGGAAAACCTCTTAATAACAACGTACAATTAGATCCCCTTAATATCAATGTATTACAATTTTTTGACATGATGTTATTGGATGATACGCAAATGCGTGTCATCTTCATTTATGACATCGACTTCCTTGATACGCATTGCGTGTCATAAACACGCGCGTCGTAAGGTTACGACACGCAAATGCGTGTCGTCTTCCTTTGTGACAGGGCCTTCCTTGATACGCATTGCGTTTCATAACTGCGCGTCGTAAATGCGTGTCATAAATGCGCGTCGTAAATAGACGACGCGCCAAAGCGTGTCGTCTCTCGTTATGACAGGGTCTTCCTTGACACGCATTTGCGCGTTGTCTGAGCGTTTTATGACACACATTACGCGTCGTAAAAGGCTGTTTTTCTAGTAGTGGATATCGCTTGTGGTATTGTCATAATTAACCAAGTGAATGAAATTCTCATCACCAAGTTTCAAGTTGGACAGAAACTTAGAGTCATGCAATTCGAACTGTCTGATGCATGAGAGTATAGGTCATTGGAAAATTATGACTAACTCATTGATCACATGTTTATGTGAGGAAAATGAAGGACTGATGGATCTAGTACATGTTGATATGGACTATTCAGATTCACCACAAAGGACGATAGCTCTATTCGTCATGATTTACTGATGCTTCAGTAAACATTGTTATGTTTATAAGATTAAACATAATTCTGATACTTTGAAAAGATTCAAAAAGTAGCAAAACAAATAAGAAGAGTCTAGTTGGCAAAAGGATAAAAGTTTCTCCAATATGGAAGGAGAGGAGAGTACTTTAGTATCATGTTTTATGATCATCTTAATGATTTTGGATTTATATCACAACTGATCCTCGAAGAACATCTTAGTGTGATTGTATGACTAAGAAGAGGAATCGAATATTGTTGGAAATAGTTCGATCAAGAGATGAGTCATACTTCATTACAATCAAGTTTTAGAGTCATACTCTAGTAACTACAAATTATATCTTGAAACTCATTTCATACTAAGAAGTTTGAAAACAACTCGAAATATGTGCAGTAAAAATGTTTTCTTACCCTAGCAGATATAGAATTGGAGTTGTGATGTTTTCCTGAATCGAGAAACAAAAGATAAACTGAGACCTATTCTATGAAGTGTTTTCTTCTTGAGAATTCACACGAGTTAATCGAAAATAAAACTTTTAGTTATCAAGAAATGTTCCTTGAGAGAAAACTTATATGTCAAGAAGTCAGTGGGAGTCATATTAATCTTGAGAGTTTCAAGAGTCAATCGAAAATAAAACTTTTAGTTATCACTAGCACACGACCTGAGGTTGATAACCTATCGTGCTTGGTTGACACATTCTTCTTGATGTGCACTTCTAGTTGAGTTGGAAATGCTTATGAGTTATATGTTTTTCATTTAACTACAAAAGCAAAGCGTGTTGGTCAGTAAAAGTCGATTGATCAATATGGGTGACTTTCTAACAATACAGAAGCACTAGCCAACCCCTAAGCTACCATGGAGAAAGAAATTTAGAATAGAAAAGTTCAGTCCATGAAGGAAAGCTAAATTTGAATTTG